TTATAACCGAAAGCAACAACAGAAGAAAAATTAAAGAAAATCAAAATCTTGAGTTTTTAATTAACTTTAAAACAGTCAAGGAAACCTTTATTAACTGACGAAGCACACTTGCGCCTAGTAGTTTTACTCCATGCCAGAGAATTTTCTATTGTTAACCTTGTTACATGTTTTTTCTCTTTCCTACATTAATATATATTGCGAAAATTTCATTAAAAACGAAATAATTTATAAACCCGTCGTTGTGTAGCTTTAATTTCATTTAAAAGCTTCGAATTTCAGGAAAATGCCGGTGAAAAATTGCTATCGATCTTTACGGCTGCCTAACTTTGTAGCGCAACAAAAAATAATTAATTTATCAAAGCGCGTTTAAAATATCCAAATTAATTGACTTTTAGTTAAACGCCGAGCAGGAGGTATATTAAATAATGGAACGGGCTTCGATGTACTCCCGTAATTTATTTATTGTTCAGTCTATAAAAAGTTTATATGGTATTCAACAAAAGCGTTACCCGTTATTGTTTAAAATTCGGAAGTTAATTGCGCTTTTGCCGTTCGGGCAGAACTCGGCTTTTTTATTTGCAATTCTGCGTTGAATAGAATTTGTGACGAAAAAATGACCTTTACGTACGATTGAACGATGTTCGTTATCGGATAAAATGTTACCGGAAGTTATTTTTATTGGTTACCAACGTGATAAGTTATTAATTCAATGTTATAGAATGAAACCAGGACTGGAATTATTGACAATTTTCTGGGCTTGTTTGGTTAATTTTTAATAACATACTAAATTGTCTATTACGAATATATGTAATTTTCTTTTTGTTTAGATGTCTTGTTAGAAAACTAATAAATTTAGTAAAGGCAAAAGCAATATCCGTCCAACAAAAACTTTATACATACTGGGTATAAGAATCGTCTTGTGTAACATAACTAAAATTTCGGAGAAAAATGTTTGATTTTTCAATGGCAAACATCCATGCACAAAGAAAAAAAAACGAATGTGGTGAAAATTGTTCTCTCTCTAGCAGGTTTATATCGCAAAACACTTTATCATATTTATGTGTATTATTCTCACTTTTCTTTTGAGCTTTGAATGCTGCTATAGAAAGTTTTATTATTGATCTTTGGTAGCTTACAATAGTTGAGTATGATCATGAAGGTATTTTGGGATGTCATATACAGTCATATAAAGTTTTGGCGAAAAATTTCGAAAACAAATTATATAGCTTTGCCTCCAAGAAAGACTGATTCAATTCCGATCATTATTTACGATCGGCGGGATACGAGAAAATGTTAAGCAAAGAAGCCGTTAAATAGGGGCCTCAGATAGAGTACTTACTAAATAGAATAAAAAAAATATATTACAATTTACCTCATTAATAGTTTATACAGGTCTGGTACATCTCAAGTTTCTTTATTTGCAGACAGCTCTGAAAAAATTATTGCGTTTATTCCATTTGCGGATATAATTACAACTTGTATGTTTATATTTGTGATAGGTATAATAAAAGTAAAAAAATTTCATTACATGATTTTAAACGTAAGCGAAAAACTCGAGATAAGGTACTCCTTGCTTATTTATTATTAATTGTTCTCCTTTTCTATTTTTTTGAGTATGTAAATTAGCAGTTAATTTTGTCTTATGTTTCCGTAGCAAATTATTATAATATATAGAGTATTCTATCAAAATATTATCAGTTTTTGGTTTCATATTATTGTTAACAACTATACACATTATCTAAACTGAAAATGAATATTTGTATTTATAAAGGGTGATTCAATAAGGTTTTCCACATTAAAATAATAAAAAACTCGGAAGAATATAAAAATATACAAACATTTTTATTTGCCATTTTAGATTAGTGTAATGACCCCCACGACATAATTCGTTTATTGAAATTTCCTATCACTTTTTGACACAATTCAGGTTCTATGCCGGCTATTTCGCCTCTAATCTCCTGTTTCAGCTCTGGAATAGTGTTTGGTTTATTTCTATACACTCTGCTGTTTAGATACCCTCAAAAAAAAATCTGGGGGAGTAAGATCACATGATCGCGGCGGCCAATTTATATCGCCGTTACGTGAGATAATCCGACCAGGAAACGCCCCGCAGCAATTGCATCGTTTCTCTGGATGTGTGACAAGTGGCTCCATCCTCCACAAATCTTCAATGTCCATATCTTCCAACTGCTCCCTGAAAAAATCAGATATCATGATTCGATAGCGAACACCATTAACCGTAACAGCGTTCCCCGCATTATCCTCGAAAAAAAAAGGGCCAATTATTCCTCCGCACCAAAATGCGCCCCAAACAGTCAGTTTTTGAGGATGCATTGCTTTTTGAACAATCTCTCTTGGATTTTCTAATCCCCAAATACCAGCATTGTGTTTGTTTACAAAGCCACCGACGTGAAAATGTGCCTAATCGCTAAAGATGATTTTCGTTGAAAAATGAACCCCTTGTTCTCGTATCCGTTCTGCAAACACGCGGCGCTGTTGATGATCTCGAGGTTTCAACTCCTGAGTTATTTGGACTTTATATGGGTGTAGATGCAAGTCTTTTGTTAAAATTCGCTGTGTGGTTGAATACGTAATGCCCACTTGCTGCGATCGATGAAGAATCGATGTTTTTGGGTCTTTCGCGAACAATGGCAATATTTTGATCTGACCGACCAGCACGAGCACGTTGAGGGACATTGAGGTCAGTTACAGATCCAGTTTGCTCAAATTTTTGAACAGCATTCCAAATTGTCCTCTCAGAAGGTCGATTTTTCGGGTCGAAAAATTCAGGTAGAGCCCGAAATGCATTTTTTCTTGATCGACAATTTTCATAATAGGCTTGCACAATTTTTGCACATTGTTCAGTCGTATATTGCTCCAAGACTAATTATTAATAATTATTAATAATAAACAGTGGTGTTTCAAAAATATTTCAGATTGTAATGTGGAAACTCTTATTGAATCACCCGTTACTTTTGAAAATATTATTATTATTATATTATTAATATTACTAAATTTATTGTAAGTGCATTAATGATAGTAGTTTCAATTTATAAAACGTAAACTAATTGTAATGAATGGAATTTGAATAAAAATCAAACGCAATCCCGGTTACTTAATTTAAGCGTTAGGGAAGGAAAGCGACACGTCGTACAATTTTGTAACCGGATACGTGCAACGAATGCTGAAACCAAATGTACTCTGATTGGGTAAGAAAATCAACTACCACATTCCAGTCCGCTACGTGCTTTGCAAATTTTTTGCATAACGTTCGGCTGTTATATTTTATTAATTAATGTCCCTTACGTTGGCTGTATCGTCCTTATAAATTACGTCTATTGAAGTTAACGCCTACAAAAACCTTTAACAATCAATTTACGAGGTCCGTCTCGTGGCAACTCCCGAGTTTAGCCCCGACCGACGCCCGCCGCCGTAACAAATTTGTTTTGTACTCGAGGCGCGGTCGGCAAAAACCGAATTTTGTCCCTTAATGGCCAAACAAACAAGGGTCTAATCATCGAACATGATAAAGCACTTCGTAAACCAAGATCCCGCCCCATTTGCATGCCTCAGTTTAGAAGGCAATTTTGCATAAATCATCCTATTTTGGCATCGAACGTGGTTTGCATCCTTAAACGCGGATTTCGCTTCAATTTCAGGCACAATTCCCTCCTAGCGTCGCGCCGTTGACTTTTAAACTCTTTTACTGTGGAATTCTTATTACTGTATTACGCGGTTTCTCTGGAATTACATTACTCGACGATTGCCTTGGAGCGGGAACGTTTTTTCCATCTATCTAGGTAGTATCTAAACCGACGACTCCAGTAAAGTCACGTGGATGAAAAGGAGAACGCTCGAGATGCCGTGGATAGTTAATTTTACTGAATACCGAATATTCACAACAAGAAGGTTCACAGAAGAAGGTATTTTCTCGAATAAATTTTGCTTTAAGCATATGCAATCACATGAGAAGTGATATTTAAACTAAGTAATGTAACAAGAAAGCAAAAATAAATGTTAGCACATTGGTCACATATATTGCGATATAATGTGCCTCGTAGTTGGTTGAAAAACTAACCAGTTTTTAGTTTTGGGGAGTTATTCCAACCCCGAGGCTGCATGCCAAATGAAATTGAATTAGTACTCAACATGCAATCTTCATTCTTTCTTCTTCTTTCTTCACAAAATTCAGTTTATTCAATACATTTTTAAAAACCAAACGAAAACGTGTTCACCAAAAGTAAGTCTTTAGCTTAACTCAGCTAGTTTTGAAATATTCTTTAACTTCCTTTGCTTATTTATTATCTTTTAACTGACACGACTTTTTAATATCAAGTGGAGGGTAGTATGAGGTAGTGTAGATCCAACTACCTGAAGCGTTGTGTAGAAAATAAAAGGCAATGGAAGAATCTCTTATTAGTTCTAGTGTTGCTATTAACCTCACTAAATAAAACTATCAAATGACGTGGTTAGTATAGCGAAACCTGGTTAACCTTAGATAGTCGGCAACCTAAATAATCAGAAGTATCCCTAATGAAAACTAAATGGTTCCTGTCAAAGGGGTATGAACAACTATCTCCAAAAACAAAATAGTAATGGCATAATGGTTCATGAATATATCTAGAATAATTTTAAATTAGTGAACACATGAAGGAGGAAAATGGAGTATATAATTTTGGGTACTCCTTCAATTATATTGATATGGACCCGTGGAAAGCGAGAATGGGTGAATCAATCTGATGGATAGCGACTCGGCTATCGATTACACAAAGAGTGCGCATAAAAATTCCCCCCTCACACATACGTGTTTCTTCCTAGGACATTCCTCTTTGTTAAATAAATTAGTTATCCTTGATCTTTACCAAGGTTTTCATTCAACAATTACGCAATCAATCATCATACTGCCGGTGAACCGCGAACAAAAGTTTATTCCATCGTACGTTTTATATACACCAAGTGATTTATTGTGATTTTGATTAAAATTAATTACGTTCTTACAGTGAGTTGGCGACTAAATAAATAAAAACTGTCTTCATTCATATGTGAGATGCAGTGGTGTGGATTGCTGCCATGACCATTACAACGAGGAGACGAGCTTTGGGGTTACAAAAACTTAAAACTGCTATTGGAACGACACCGATGTTGTTGAAGTAGACGACTCTGCGCTAGATCGCGGAAATCTATTACATAATAATTTGTGGGTGTCTAAATAATCGACACAACCTTGAACGAACACTTGTCTTAGAACAGGTACATTATTTCGTATATGTGCTGAGTAATGGTTTGAACAGACGTGGTTAGCGAAATACATTCGGCGATGTTTATTGCATAAACAAAATAAACGACAGCAATAAAAATATATATGGTAGCGATATACCAACAATTCATGTTAGTAAACAAAATAATAGGAAGCTTTGCGAAATCAACTGAACCTTATTAACACTGAACTACCGTCGCCTTTTTTTAGAAATAGGAAATATACAAATCAAACAAAAGAGGCAAATTATGAAAAATATTTTAATTTTGTCGCATTTTAACTCAGTTATGTTTTCTGAAATATTATGAATCAAAGTCTAAAAAAGTAGAATAATGAGTTGAATAGTCAATTACGATCAAATTCTGATTAAAATCTGTGGGTTTCAGTGAGTCAGTTTTTTTTTTCAAAAATTTTTAGTTTTAATTTAGTTCATGAATGTTGTTAATGATATTGAAAACATTAAACAAGTTAAAAATAGCTTCCAACTATAATTCACGAACAGTGTAATTTTTTGGATTTAGTGGTTTTTGAAACTCGCTATTCAACATGTCATAACACTTATATTTTGCTTTGACCCTGAATGTGGACGTAAAATTGTTTAAATATCCTCCTTGTCCGATTCTCAAACGAAATCTTCGAATAAACATGCCTGTCCTAAAAGCGTGCCAGTTGCGAAACAATACGTATCGATACACTTCCTTGACATGGTGAAATTTTTTAAATATTGGTTAAGATTTTAAACAAAACGAATGTTTTTATGGTAATTACGTTTCGCAAAATCGCCTTTTTTCGAACCTTTGTTTGTTATTACGCAATTGTTTAAGTACTTTGTAAATTGCTTCGTATTAAAGAAATTACGCGTTGTCTTTATTACGTGCGCTCGCTTTTGATGAATTGAAACAATTCTTTAGTTTTATTTATTTTAAATTTGTGAACACTTTATTTATTTCTACATTTTGTTGTTTTCCAGGTAACGAATACACAAGAGGACAATTAATAATATTCTCGAATCTTATTTTAACCGGACGAGCAATTCATAATTTACATCGCGTTTACTCACAAGGCGCATAAACATCATCTTGACAAAGGTAAGAAAAAACAATACACAATACAAATTCTTAAATATGATAGTTTAATACTCAATATCAGTCTCCATCACAATATAATAGGTTAACAGCCCATGACACAAAAATTTCAACAATAAAATAAAAATTATAGGTATAGTGTCTTAATTATTAATTAGAGTTCTAATTAAATAACCAAAATTATATTTCATATTAAACGTATATCGCCAGATCTGCAGATTTTGTTTTTTTTTAAACAATGGATCGCAACGTGGGCACGCTAAAGCTCCCTTTGCACTGCTTCATGCTTAATGTACATTCGTAGTGAATCATCTAGAGTGAAACCATCCAACAGTCACCATTGTTTAGGTTTATTTATAGAGTTCTATGGTTTTACACTGTTCACTGGCTTATTTTGTGCCTTGTGTTACCATAATGTCAACTTAAATTTCAACTGATACAAAGAAGTTGGTTTATAATTTTTGGATGTAATCAAAATGAAAGCCAATATATACTTATTATTTTCTATAATTTGGTTCCCCAATTTCATCTCATTCACAACCGTGGTACTGACTTAGCTAACGAACGGACTCTCAGCATCATCCTGTATTTCGATTCATGACTACCAATTAAAAAATTGAATCAAGTATTTTACACTGTCATATATTTAAGGAAACCTGTTTGATTCTCAATCAAAATTCGATAACTGCACAATTTTTAACTTGGCTTTTCGTATTTTATCTATAATACTAAAAACACTAAAATTAAAATAGTTTTTGGTACCTACAGAGCGCATTTGTTTGTTTCAAAAAATTTAATGTTTTGGGGATATTAAATTGATATATTTCAAAGTTGCACCAACTATTACTCATTAGGATAGCTGTCTTTAACCCCTTCAGTACCAAGGAGCGCCGTCGCTCTGCTCTCGCTAGTTGTGAAAACTGTCGCGATAGCACTCCTTTTTTGACGCTGAAATGATAGAACAATTTGAAAACTGCGTTAGTAATTATGAGAGCGATAGAGAAAGTGATATTCTGGTTCCTGTCAATAGGAGGTTGCGTGTTATTAGCGACAGTAGTGACCCAATCAAATACGCAATTTGTGGAACTACCACGTTTACAAAACAAACTCAGCATGCATTTCTTGAAATATCTGGACCCAATTATGCTCCTCCAGGTGAAGCAGCCCCACTGAAGTATTTATTTTTCACAGAGTTTTTGTTTAACAAAATGGTGATCGAAACTAATCGGTATACTTGCTGCTACTATTTCTCCTTACTGGAATAAAAAATCACGTATATTCCGTGGTTTTCTTTTCCAGGAACAGATTTCATTTACTTTTAAAATTACAGAGCATCCAAAATAAAATTTTGGCTCTAAAGTCATATATAATTTATCAGCGTAATTCCTCTAATGACAACATGACCGGGCTGGAATTTACTTTCAGTATTATAAGAGACCAAGTGCAATTAAAAGATCAGACTACATTTGCTTTATGTGTAAAAAACAACTGCACGGTGTTTGCGTAGGAAAATATAAATCTTGTTTATTTTGTGTATTTTTCTTTTGAGCTTTTATTATCACAGTATAAAATCTTCTTAAAAGGATGTTGAAAAAAATATGAATATTGATGTGTTAACGGAAATGGTGAATATTTTTTTATATATATTTATAAAAATGCAATTTTTTATTGGCGTTTATAGCATTTATGGGTAAAATGTGTATGGTTCTATAAGGGTTAATTAGTCTGACAAATATGTTCTGTTAAAATTGATCGTCAATTGTAAAAAAGTAGATTTAAATTTTACAGTAAGATTTGCGATTGCTTATTATGACAATTGCAATGTTACGAGATTTCTCTTGTCAGTTTAGATGATCGATCAATTATACCCACATGCAGGGTATCCCACAGCGAACTTCGTCGATTTGGTATGAGAAAATTATAAGTTGCAAACATTTAATAATTTGGAGGCAATCCTGCTAAATTTTCTTTTTTTTTTTTCAATTTACATTTGGATTGGGGGTCGACTTTCTTATTTTAACTAGGGCATCACGTAAGTCATTTATTTTTTCGATTCTCCTGAAAATTCTAGACATTTTTCGGGTATAATGTTCTAAATTTCACGGATATTTAACATTTTAAATGACGTTTGCAAACTGAACGATTTTCAAAATTTTGCTACTTAAAGTTTTTCGATGAAGTTCTCGGTGGAATACCCTATATATTTTACGTTCTCGCTTTGGAATAGATATTTTTTGAATTATTGACGTCCATTTTAGCCGGTAAAACCATAATAAAACCAGCTTTTCACAAATCACAGTTAACGTCGCTATAACAAAAACTAACTGCTCTTAATGTCTCTTTATTTATTGGCAAAAATTATTGAATTTAAGTTAGTAAAGAGCCTTCTAAAAAAGTGTGAATTATTTCTTGTCTTAAATATGCCTGACTTAGTTAACGATAAAAAATTAATTAAATTATATACAATATTAACGTTACAGCTTAAATTATGTAAAAGAAAATATAACTAAATCAATAGAGAAAAACAACTGCATAATTTGAAATACTCCTGCTAATATTTAGTCGGACCTCCCTCATTATCGATAACGGCTTGTAGTCTTCTGGGTATTGATTTAACTAATAGTATACTCCGGGGAAATTGTGTTCCGTTCTTGTTAGAGATTGGGGCACTATTTACATTGTTTTTTAATGTCAACCACAAATTTTTAATTACATTTAAGTCTAGTAAGTCTTAATAACATTTGGGCGGTTATAAAGCAACCAACTGTGGACCCGAAGTGACGTGTGCTTTGGATCATTGTCATGATAGAACCATTTTGGTTCATATTTCCTTGAATGAAGTGCATATTACCTACTCCTGCAGATGACATACAGCCCAATAACATCACTCCACCTGCACCGTGTCTTATCGTAGGTTTTTTTTTCAGTTTTAATTTTTCCTTAGGCTTTCTCCATACTGATATTTTTCCATCGTATCCAAATAAGTTTATTTTGGCCTCATCGGCAAATATTACTGAATTTCAGAAGTTCAAATTTTTATCTCACGCGTCCATTTCTTCGAATGAAAGGCTTATTTCTGGCAGTTCGACCATGTAAATTATTTTTTCACAGAATTCGTCGAATTTTTTCGTGGTTACACCTTTTTGCAAACTGTCTTTCCACCTCGACACCCATCTTTGGAGCACTTTCTCGATAGATCTCGTACAATCCATCTTTATTTACCATTTTCGCTATGTCTTTTTGGCTGTATCCATTTGTATTATGAGTATTAATTACATTTCTCCTAGAAATTGTAGTCCCACGACCCACTTTTTAAAAAAAAAATCGTTTTACTGAACGAAAACTTGTTTTAAATTGTCAAACTAAACAAAAAACAATTGGAGTAGTAAATAAAAGCCGCGGCCTTGGTAAATTTCAAACTGATAAGTTTTGACCTCGGTTACTATTTTTGCATCATTTAAGTGTGACTTTAAAATTCTTTATAAGTTGTTTTTTGCCAAATACATAAAGAGACATTCAGACCAGTTGGTTCTTGTTATAGCGACACGGACTCTTGAAAATGGTGCACAATTTTTGTTAAGCCGAGTGCCCAGCAGTCTAAAAATTTGTCCTCTTATATAATCCCGAAAGATTTTATATTGTTTTTCGACCCATTTTACAAAAGAATACTTTCCTCTCGTAAAGTTTTGTTTTAAATTCCGCTGCAACAGCGTCCCATGAATAGAAAATATCCCGAGTTCATTTTAATTCCTTTTGTGCCACCCTTGAACGCGAAAATTAATTCGCGAACACACGAGACAACCGGGTACGGAACGCCGGAGCATTTAGTCGAAAACCTGCGGAAAATTTTAGGCACGCGGACAAACACAAAAATATGGTAATGCCGCCGTTGGATTTTCCGCGACGACGTCCCGGAATCCGACGCAAACGGAAAAACACACGCGGCGCATCAGAGTAAAATGCAAATGCGACGTCACTAAAAAAACAAAACAATAGCGGCGGTAACAGTTTTCCAAAGTAGTCGCAATAAACGTAACGGCGAGCACGGCGGACCGCGTCGGGATATTTAGCGTTGCAAAGTTTGCTACCCTTTATTCGATTTTTTTTTTGGTGACGTGTGAAACCGGTTTTAGGAGTCATTAACGGAAAGTGTGGGATACGTTTCGGAATAAATTTTCTAACGTTTGACGGCGGCGTTTAGGCATGAACGCTTTTATCTCAGGTCGCTGAAACGTAAACGCTATAGATTTTTAATTACCCTTTTCGTTGTATTTTAATGGCGTTTTCGACATTTGCTCGCGGCAATAATGGCGGATGGTGAATTCGTCTTGGTTTGGTGATAAGCTAAACTGCTCGACGCTCGAAACGCGCAAACAAAAATTGTAAACTGTTTTCAGCGACGCACGTATCCAAGGATGAAAAATATATTTAGGGACACAGGTTGCGTTCTGATACATGTTATATATATTGAATAATATTCAACATATCAGGTCGTAAACTACTAATGCCTACTTTTCTGCCCCAAATGGCTTGTAACCACAGAGTTTCTCGCTAAACATCAGCAGACCCATTGTTGCTTTCTTACGGACTCCACCTGGGCTATGACAGCTCCCCGTGTCTTCATTATTACGAGACCTTAGGACATTCGCACGGTATGTGTTCTACTGTCTCGTCTTCCTGTTTACACACCCCACATGTGGGGGTGCTACTCAAACTCAATCTGAATTAGTGTTTGTTAAGTAGGCAATGACCCGTAAGAATACCTCTGGCCAGTTTGGTTCGGATAGTTCCATAGCTTCCTAGCTATTCAACTGATTTCTTTTTTACCCCATTGTTTTAGAAAATGTTTGCGAAAGTTTTCCTTTATCAGTTTCTTAAAGCAGCAGAGAATGAACTTCGCGGTTTTCGCTACCGTTTGCTAGTTTTTCTTGAATGCTACAAGCAGAATTCCACCTTGCTTCGTTCCCGAGAATCAGGGTGATATTTTGGGTGGTTACATATTTTGG